CTTAACTTTACAGCACAAACTCATGTCATAATGACTTTAATTGTAAACTTAATACAATTTAATAACTTACCAAATTACCCAAACACGACTAAAGAATACTCCACCATATAATGAAATGATTATATTACTGACACACTTATTGTTATAAAGATACAATTCTTCAGAGATGCCTTAGTCATTGTTACATTTAAATGTTCATTTAAATATATATTTTTAATTTATAACTTTTTGCTTCTCACTATACATGATCAATCTAATTAAAAATAAAACAAAAATCACTGAAATAGGTTTTTTATTCATCACATCTGAGCCAGTTTCACAATACAAAGCTCACACTGAAACATCATACACACATAACACACAATTGTTAACTACAATTATAAATAACAATGTACTACAAATAATCATCTCCATCTCCCAAACTGATATTTGTGCAGCAAAAAACACATTGACTTGTAAAACTAGTTGGACTCATTATTTACTGATTTAAAATAATCTCCATTGATGCTTAAGATCATTATCCATCAGCATAATGTGGAAATCTGTAGGTTACTTTGTATTTCATGACAATCTGTGGTTAAGATAATCTTTGTCGTACTAATCTTTCATGTAAATTTCTATGATATAAATATATGAGCTAGCAGTACACCATTCATGTACATGGCATTTACCTACATGCAGCACATTACTGAGTGAAAATAATGCATTGTTCAGCACATCAGCAGTACTCCTATATATCTCTAAATACATGTAACTGTTATAAGAAATAATGAATGCTATTCTTCATCAAGATACTGACCATCAGGTAAATAAACCTGCCTTGCAAATTACACAAACAGAATGGCTGAAACTGGTGGTCACCAACACAGGATCAATGCTTACTCCAATGTGTTTGTGAACACCACTGATAACTAAACACCACATTATTTTCATAGAAATGCACAAAATAGCTGCTGCTGTGACTGCCTGTTAACAGCACATTACACATCCTCTTCCAACTATGGAGACATTCCTCACTTAGACAAAGAGAGCAGCACCAAACTGACCAGTTGTGAGACTGTGTATGCTTGACTCTGCCAGTTCACGAAGTCTGAGCAACCTCCTGTTCCTAACATCAGTTCTTATATTTCTGCAGATAACACACATAGCACAAGATGGTATAATCTCCACCCCTTGTCCTCTTGGTAGCTTGTCTCCACGGATGGTGTTGATGGGGTCGCCAAAACCTGAGTTGTTTTTCACGACTGGAAGGAGTCCTTCCTGTGTTCTATCATTGTTTTTACAAGCTCCTGATACTGACCTCGGAGGTCGTGTTTACCGCTATCTCTCCCAAAGGATGTCATGTTATATCTGCAACTACCCACACTCTTCTCCCTTATACTGTGCCTGCTATTCATATTCATTAGTAAGTTACAATTCTATAACACATCATACAAACATCTAATATTCATTACTTTATTTCTGTTATTAGTATTCCCTTAACAGCCCTTTATCAATGTAAGCATAATCAATGTAAGCACAAGTAAACATATTTCTATTCTAGTTAATAATCATACAGGTAAATATATAGAGTATAAATCACAGAATATCGCAACAAAACACGCTGTTTTTCTTCATCTTAACTGTTTATAACACACATAATTTGACATATACTATGTTAAAATAAGGTCTCCATATAACCCGTGTTCGATCATTAATTTTACATGAGGTGTCTTGCTGTGGTTTTGACTTTTGGCTCGAGTGGAGTATGACTGACAGGAAGCCTAATATGAGCAGAAAGCTTTAGCTATGGGGTGAATCTTTTATTTTGGTGGGGAAAGCTCACTAATGAAAGAAGAAGAAAGAGAAACACTAAGTGATCAGGGAAGTATTGTGAAAATGTGCTCTGTTCTTCTTTTTGTGCTATTTTCTGTCCCTTTTAATGGAAGCCGACAGTTTGAGCCGTCCTTCAAAGTAAAAAGGGTTTGTTAAAGGATGTTTGGAGCCGTTATTGAACTGTGGTAATAATTGGTTCTGAAGAGGCGATTCGCTGTTTGTGTAAAGGTCGAGTGGCGCTGATGTGCTGCTGTTTTCGTATTTTAACTGTGGAAATGCAGCTGTATGTTGGCTGAGAGTTCTGACTGAGTTTGATTATGTGCTTCTCTCCTTTATAAATACAAAATGATCAACACGTGAAATGAAATATAATTCTGCCCATTAATAAGGTCATTGTTCATCATTAAGTCCACAGCTGTGAAAGAGATCAGTTTTTAACTAAATATGATTCAAATCCAATATTTTAAAACTGCCAATGATCAGAACTAGAGCTGCGACACAAGGCCTTCTTGATTTTAAGGGGTGCAAGAAAATATATTTAAAAAAACCCCAAAACATTTGGTCTATATCTCAGAATTTCATTAATCATTAATTAATCATTTTTCTCATAAGGAGGAAATATGAACACAAGCTATGTTCACCTTCTGTTAAACAGCCTTGTCAGCATTAGAAAAGTTAAAACAACTAAAGAGCCAATAGAACAATGGAAAGTATCAGCGAGAACACAACGCTGAATCTGTCAAAAAATACGCTTTTTAAGTCTGTATGATGTTTGAATACAGACGGAGAATCAGGAAAACTCATTTCTGATGCTCACAGGAAATAATCTGCTCACAACTCATCCGACTTGCTCGTTTTACACAAACTCCCTGCAGTTATTGTGTTCACTGTTTGGGTACAGTTTATATCAGCTGTTCTGTTCTGTTATTGTTAAGCACTGAATATAACATTAAAATCCCTTTTAAAGAAGAAGGTTTGGAACCACTGCTTTAAATAGTTTTTCCTCTAATATTTTGTTTCAGAAATCAGACTGCTATGTAGTCACGCTCATGCACACTCATACATCCATGATTAGTTACGAGAGGTAAAATTTAATGGTTCAAAAACGGGGAGTGTGGGACCAGGAGGACCACTCTTTTACCCCAATTTCCACCAAATTAGCTCTTCACAACCCGTTCAACAGCAGCCAACAGTTAATAATCTTCACCTTAAGTAACCGTAAGTTGTTTTTCCCCTATCTCTGTCTCAGTACAATGCTTTGAAGGAAACCTTCTTTTCCACACAGTGAACATGGTTAGAGGAATATAATGTGCCACAGAATTTCATTACTGCCTATTTTAACGCTACTGGCCGCTGCGTCGGCTCTGTAATTACATATAATCACATTCAAGAACATGCTGCCTGCTGGTACCGTTCCTGTATCACATCCAGACATGTGTCACTCAGTAATTGTTTTGTACCTTGTGTGTGTGTGTGGGTGTTTAATGGAGGGACATTGTTGGTGGGGGGGGGATCAAATAATGCCTTCCTGAAAATGTGGTGTTATCGTTTATGATGAACAACTTTCTGTCTTTTTTTGTTTTTGCCTCAGGAGAAACCACACCACTGTACCCAGCAGAGATTACTGAAGAGCGCCACCTCAGAAACTCTCCACTGAACCAAACTGAGGTACATTTTAAAGTCTGAACTATTAACTTTTATAAAAAAACATTTAAAATGATGCAGTAATTATTGCCTCCGCGCTGCCAGTCGCTCCCACTTTGTACAGTTTTACTTGTGTTTCTGTAACACCTACTGTTATATAAGGGACTATTAAATCTACAGTTCTAAGGGCTGGGTGATAACTCAGTATTATTGTGGTTAATATGGTCTCAGCATGTTATTGTTTTACACATTTCTCTTTCTCACAATCACTAACAGCCTTTTTTTTCTCCAAAACTCATCACACAGTTAGCACAACATTCACAATTCGTGGTGTTTTCACAGAATTTGCAGCCATTTAACACATTTCACTTATGTTTTTTTTTTTACATAAAAACTATCACAATACTAGAATTATGCATCTCTATGGTCTTATTTACAATTGCACAGAGCATAAAGCCTCTACCTCTGCAACAGCTGTATTGAAACAGCTGATGAGTGTTATTGAAAGAGTAGATTAAAAAAACAAAAAAAAATAATTTATTTAAATTAAAAAAAAAAAAAAAAAAAGTGATTTCAGTCTCAGTCAGAGACATAGCCAGATTCTGAAGTTCTTTCAATTATATAACTAACAAACTATATAGTATAATTAGCATTTGAACCTGTCATACAGATGTGAATCATCCTTAAAACCTGTAATGGTCTTTATAACTTTACTGTTTAACTTCATTGACGAACTTAAACACTTTTCTTCTCTGGTCTCAACATATTGACATTTCTGTTTCAGGTGAAAGTCGTGTTTGTGTGAGAGGCGGCGAATACCGCTGGTGAGTTAACAGACGCTGTGTGTGGAGAATTCTCCTCACAGTTTGAGTCGATATCAGCATCAACTCTGAACTACTTTTCTCTTCTGAAGCTCAGAGACAAAAACAAACATCTAATCCAAAGTATTTCTGTGTTAAACTAAACTTCCTACTACATTAATACCTTATTTTCATGGTAGACTGAATTCATTATTAGTGATTTACTATGTAGTTAGTGATGTAAGTGTGTTATTGGTTACATTAATTCAAAATAACTTGTTTTAGGGCACAAAATACGCACAATAATCCAATCAATCACCTGAACATAAACCTAGTGTTTAAATTACAGTGTTAAAGTGCTAACATCTAAATTCTTGTTCAAGTTGAAATCCCTGAGCCTCAAATGTTGATCCAGATTTTTGTTTACATACAAACTCTTCAGTTTAGTGTGAGGTCAGATTCATAGTTGAGTATTTGTGTAGAAAAATGTGTTCACGTCATCAGACAATTCAAGATTATGATAAGATTGCTATTAAAAATATTGTTCATTTAAATTTAGGGTTAGTAACCTTAAAGAGTGAACTTCACCTGATGTGAGGTTTCAATATTTGTTCACTTTTTTCAGGCAATCTGAGCTATTAAAACTCTGACATATTGACAAACATTATTTACAGGTCAGGAACTGATAATTCCCACAGGACTTGAACGTGGCATGTGAAAAAAATCACTGCTACTGCAAAATGAAAGCTGTTACAGAGTTTTATTTCCTCTCACACGTGTTGGTCCTCAGGAACAGCAAACACAAATATCAGATGCATAGTTAATAGCTCATTGGATTGTAAAGAAAGAGTGTGTAAACAACAGAACTCTGTAAACAAAAACAATTTCACAGCTTCAGAACTGAAAGAAAACAAAAAAAGCATGTAAAGAGAGTTTCTTCCTCAAAACAAAACTGAGTAACATTTTATTATTTTTTTTTACCTCAAACAAACACAGAAAAATGTTTAACGATGAAAGTTCATGAACACGTTACTGACAGAAACCGGTTTTGAAATGTTTCAGATTCACAGCTTCGTCCCGTTTCAGCTCATTTCTACCTTTCAGTTAAGTGTGGAGGTTATCAGCTGTGTACCAGCGGAGGTTATTGATAACTAACTGTAATAGAGGACATTCACTGTGGTTGAATTAGAATAAATGAACATTTCTAGCACTTTTGATGGGATGCAGAAATAACTATCGCTGCATATTGATCGTCGATACTTGTTCATTTGATACACACATAATGCGTTTGTAGCTCCAAGTATCAAAAACTCTCGAAAAAGGTCTTGAAAATTGACATCAGATATCTGGTCGGACTTCTAATTAGTTAAAAGTAATGAATTGTTTTGTATAATTAATCGAGTGCAACCTCCAAAACGTTCCCTGGTTCCAGCTTCTCCAACGTGAGGGATTTGCTGCTTTTACTTGGCTCTGGGAAATAGTCATTTTCTTGATTTAGATCAACAATTTAGACAAAAGTTTGACTTCCATTGTTAAATAATAGGGGGGAGAAATGGTGTGTGGAAAGATTCAACCAATAAACTAGAGTAAACTTCAGTGGGTGGAGCTTCCAGTTTAAGAGTAAGAGGTAGAACTACACCAATAAATCAAAATATAAAGTACCAAGAACTACAATACAGACGTACAGTGTCTCTATTGCATAGTTTGACCACCACAGAGCACAGAGAGATTATTTTTACATTAAAATGTCCTGTTCGCTTCTTGGTCGAGAAGAAAAATCAGAAGGGATTAAGATTGTTGTTTCGGTTAAAAAACTAAAAGTATAACAGTCAATTTTTTAATCCACCAAATATCAGTACTGACCGACAGTAGGAAGCTCTTATTATGAAGTCCTGTGCTAACCCAACTACATAATAATCTCACAATTCTCTATTTCCCCCCCAGAGCCGCTCCACCTTTAAAAATAAAACTCCAACCTGATGAGAGGATCTTAAGTTGCAAACAAACTGCAGGTGTGTTTAAGTTGAGTCGTCGTTCACAGTTTTAGAGCAAAAGACAGTGAAACATAACCAAAAAGACGCTGACGTTCCCTCAGAACTATCTCCCTGTTTCTGAGAGGACGTATCGTTGCTCAGGAGTAAAAAGGCACAGACGCTACGCAGACAGTCGACGTTCAGCTCTGACACTGCGGGACAAACAGAAAACCCTCGTTAGTCATCACTGGAGCCAAATAGAGCTTCAATTAGAACGAGAAGTACGCAGCATACTGTGCTTATTGTATAAGGAACGTTTTAATGTGATTGTATGCATTTTCTGAACAGCAGTACTTCCCCCCGAGGGTACAGTAACATTTGAGTTGAATAAGATGTTGAGCTGCTATTCATGGATCATCTCACCTATGATTTATAAAAAAAAAAAATAACTTGCTGAAGTGCTCTATTGTGCTTAAATAATGGCAGTTGATTTTTAAAGGATGTGAAAAATAACACAAAACCCTTGAAACAAGCGTTTCACTCCCTCATCGTTCATACTGTAGCATTACGTAGCAACTTACTCAGGTTTAATCAGAGGGGATTCTCTTCTTGGATTTCTTTTTCTGGAAATGAGAACAAAAACAGGACATTTAATAATTCCCAACAGGTTTAAACTCACAACAACACGCTTTAACACACGTGAGGATGAAACGTCTAATGTAAGTATTGTTATTGAAAGGTTGGTTTGTGTTGTATTTCAGCGGGTTCTTACCGTAGGAGTAGCCAGAGGAGTTTGTTCCTCTGCAGCAGCTTCCGTCTCCTCCACTTTCTCCTTTAGTCTGTTCTTCTCTGCAAACATTAACATCAGCACACGGTGACGTTCAGATCCACAGAGAAACTCCAGTAAATATAAAGTATACATCCAAAATGTCAAATCTGCTGCAGCCTAGTTTGGTGCTTCTACATTAAATTACACTTTGAAATGTTTTTCTACCAGTTTAGAGACTGGAGGGTATTTGTTATTTACAACAGAGCTAAAGGTAGGTTCTCTTTCGTCTCTCAGTGACATTAAGAATATTATATTTTCAGAATAAAAGGTGGAAGTGTTTACACTGTCCGCCAACTTAAAGCTGTTGTAGGTTCAATAAAAAGACCACCTTTGGCTCTGAATACTAATTTTTTACTGATTAAACAATCAATAATCGTTAGCTACAGTAAGTAAAATGAATGTTCTTACTCTTTTTCTTCGCAGGTACATCGGGGCTCACAGTGATCTCCTCTTCCTTTCCAGCCTTCTTCTTTTTCTTCTTCTTCCCTTCCTTTGAAAGCGGAGAAGACTCGACCTCAGGTAACTCAGCACTCTGCTCGCCGTCAGCCTCCTCGTTCACCGTTATCGGCTTCTTTTTCTTCTTCTTTGGTGGCTGGTTTTCCTTTGAGGAATTCTCTTCTTGTTCCGCGTTCGTTTTCATCTTTTTCTTCTTCTTCTTCGGTGTGTCGTCCTCCTGGGCTGGTTGGGGTCTTTTGGTTGCTTTTGGTTGAGGCGTCTCCTCGGCTGCCTCTTGGGTCTGTTTTTGTCTGAGAAATGGTGAAAGTTTATTTCCCCTTTTTATTAAATATTCAGAATATTGTGTAACTGCCTGAAACACAAACAATCAAGTTCCTACAATAGAATTTGGATTTTAAGAATATTTATAAAACCATCAGAACCACATCAGTTTAATCCCAATACGCCAGACACATGCTTCAAGTTCTTCACAGTTTATGGGAATATAATGTGGTTAAAAGCAGCGTAAACGGCACATATCCCACAGAATCTGATCCTAAGTGTGAACAGTGCTATCAGGATTAATGGGACTTTAATGTAACTCCAGATCTACGTTGGTTAAACAGGTCGCTGCAGGACTGTGACCGGTTATAATGGGCCAGCTTTAACAAATAATGTGAACAGCAAAACAAAAACAAATCAGATCTGAGGGCTGCAGTGTGAACGTTTCATATATAATATTAAGATCTCTGCGCAATAGATACAGGATGGACAAATGTCAACAAACCAGATGAATCAGCATATTAAGGATCATCATCATGTGTCTCTATGGGAAACATTACTGAAGACAAGTTGTGGGCAACTGGAATAAGAAAGTGTATGAACCAACTTAACCTTTAAGATTCCTGCACGTTATAATTACTGTGTCATCTGTTTACTGTTTTTATTTACTTGACTTTTCATTTGATGATATTGACTCACTCTTTCTACTTCATTCATATTTAATGGTTAAAACCCCGACACAAACATTAAAAACTGTACATTTATTGTGTTTTATAGACGTTATTCTTGTGAGAATTGTGCACATCTTAACATTTTACTTTTTTTTTGTTTTGTTTCCCCTTTAATACTAATGTCTTCACAATGCAAACATTTTTAATTATGTTTTTCTATGTGTGAATTACTATGATAAAGTTATTATAGTGTTTGCTGTGACTTTTGAAACCAAAACAATTGTTGAAATTGTCAAAATAAAAGTTTTACTTGTTTTGCTGGAATTTTCTGTTTTGTTTGAGGCAACTTTTTAAGTACTGAAATAAAAATAAAAAATATTCCATACCTCAGTAAGTCTTATTGCTGTTTGTTTTTTAATCTAAACCACGTAAACTTACAAATGTTATCAGTTTATAGGAGTACAGCAACTGGCTCTATATAAACTGAGATAACTATAAGTATAAAAATGTCAAAGATTTACTGACTTCTTTCTGCCTGTGAGCTTCTTGCTTTCTGCTGCCGTCTCCATCTGTCCTGAAGTGACACTGCTGCTCTTCCTCTTCTTCTTCTTCTTCCTCTCCTCTTGCCTCTGCAGTCTCAGTCTCTTCTTCATGCTGAGCTTCTTCCTGAGGCGTTTCTTCTTGGCCGACGAGAGCTGAGAGGAGTTTCCATCTAGAGGAAAAAAATACAAATCACTGAACTCGTCTCCAAACTGCTGATGAACTCTTCTTTCAGATATAACGACTATGAAAAGATTTCTATGTTAAGAGATTTTCTTTCTACCTGTGGCCTCCTGCTTCGTTTCTGTGTCTTCATCGCCCCCTGCTGGTTGATCATCAGACTGCGCCTCCTCTTTCTCTTGTCCACCCTCCTTTTTCCTCTTTTTCTTCTTTTTTTTCTCCTCCGTTGTTTCTGCCGGACTCACAAGATTCTCCTCCTCCGCTCCCGCCGCCTCGCTCTGCTCCTCTTCCACACCTTTAACCTTCGTCTTTTTCTTTTTGATTTTATTTCCCAAAGGAGTGACGGGAGTTTCCTCATCTTTCTCCTCCTCTACCACTTCCACTTCCTCCTTCTCCCTTTTCCTTTTCTTTGCCTTCTTCTTCTTCTCCGATGAAGTGGGCAGAGGAATGTCCTCCTGCTGCTGCTCCTCTTCCTCCTCTTTCTTCTGATCCTCCTCTTCCTCCTCTGGTCTCTTTTTGTCTCTCTTTTTCTTCCTTGCAGCCTTGGTGGAAAGAGGAGTATCAGTGGGTGTTTCTATGGTGGAAGCGTCTGTGCTCGGCGTGTCAGCAGTTGGCGTCTCCGCGTCCTTTTTGCTCTTCTTTTTCTTCTTCTTGGGAGTTTGGGCCTCCTCGCAGGACTCCGCAGCCTCCCCGGGGAGCGGTTGGCTGGTTTCTTGCTCGGCGGCTTCACCGTCTTCTTCGACTTCGATGTTGAGGATGATGGAGACCTCTGGGTCGACTCGCTCCTCTGCAGCCGCCTCAGTCGCCTCTCCTGCAACAAATAAACACATTCGAGATGTTTTTTTCTTTGAGAACACACAGTGGGTATAAAGACAGAGACTAATGCACGAAGAGGATATCAGAAAACAGTCCCAATAAAATGTAGAAGAACTTACGGTATCAAAACAGTTTATTTACTGATGCTGGATATATAAATACATACATTTAAAGCATTGTGTATTAGAGAAAAGTTGTGTGACGTGTTTTCATTTTGAACAATACCTGTGTCACCGCTGTCAGTGACGGGGGGGTCAGTAGTGCCGCCTTGGTCCTCTGAGCTTTCTGTCGGGTCCTCAAGCTTCAGCGGAGATGTGGGGTCGCTGCCCTCTGTCATCTGAGTGAACACACACACACACAAGTTATTAATTATTGCTAATTGTTTCTCGTCTCTGGCCTAACAACACTACAGTTTTGCTTTGTCTTCGGCCCGTCTACAACAACAGTCCCACAAATAAATGTTGTAGGGTACCTCTATTTTCTCCTCCTCCTCTTCCTCCTTTGGAATTTCAGAGTCTGAAAAAGATGAACACAGTTGCCATTACATAGTGTACATGTATTTAATTATTGCCTCTGGAGTATTTACCAAACATGACATTTAGAAACTAAAGAGCAACTTTAAGCAACAATACTGAAGGGAAGCAGAAAGAAAAAGTTTCTATCTTTAAGGTTAAATCTTATTAACATATCTAATCTATTAACATACTGCAGATTTCTTTCACTGGGTTTCTAAATAAAAAAAGACTCTTCTGCTTTGAGCTAAATGCGAACATGCTGACCTTCGGAAGGTTTACCATGTTCACCATCATATTTTATCGTGTCAGCATGCTAAGGCTCATGGGAATGTCATTCGTTTTGCAGGAAGTACAGAAATGTCTGACTTTGACGTTGATTCAAAAGTCAGAGGATCAGGAAGTTATTATTTTATAGTTGCCAAAGTCCTCCTGAGAGGAATATGTACACAATTTCTTCATCCGACCGTTGATGAAGAACCACAAATGTCAACCTCGTGGTGGCAGAACACGGCTGATAAAAAGCAATTTAAACTTTCAAACACATGAAAACAAAAAGCTCTCCTGCGACACCGAGAACAAACTTAAAGTTCAAAGCTCCTCAGATTTTATATTCAGCTGACATCTTTGTTTGATGAACACCTCCAGGTTTTCACTCCGTTGTCTTCTGACGTTCTGTCTGAATAAATATCGCCGACCTGAGTCTCGATGGCCTCGCAGCGTCAGAGGTCGCCGCTCCAGTTCGAGTTAAACAAACTCCCTCTGAGGAGATAAAGTGACTGACGTTGTGGAAAACTCGTCTGAACAGAGCCGTGTCTCTGGGCTTTGGCAGCAATCAAACGCTTTACAAGTTTTGGCGTTGAGTTCAGGTTCCTCCAGGTAAAACCTTCAACTTTATGTCTCACTTTCTTTTTTTTTCAACAAATAAAATGAAGTGATCCAAAAGTTCTGCATTTAAACAGCAAGAGAGACAAGGTGCTGCCAATAAGGAGGAAATAAAGTTTATTTTTCTCTTAAATAAAAAAAACTAAATATGTCCAGCAGGGAGTCTGTGCCGAGAAGGAAACTACTTCTACCAACTGTGATTGACTTTTGCATCTGTTGGTGAAGATTGATGGATATCGTTTAAAGTCTGTTCATCCAAATAACAAAAATAAAGCTAATATTTATAGGGACTATGTTCTCAGTAGGTCCAATAAAAACATGTTCACAGCGAGTGGAAAGATGTGCTGTAATAAGAAATGTTTAAAATCTGGCACAAATGGGATCCATTCACCTCCATTGTATCGGGGTGAAGGCTGAACTCTCAAACACATTAAAACGGGAGTAAAAAATGTGTTTGTTTCGGTGAACAGACCTTTCAAGGTGATTCATGGACTCAAATTCTGTCCGTGTTAGAGGACGACACGTCAGTCAAAGTCAGAGCGAGGCCACAGTTCTTATCCTGCTTCCTTTAAGATAGAAATCAAATCCTTAATTAAGTTTACTTCTGAATGTGTTCACCTGATAACACTGCTGCTGTATCAATTAAAACATTACAATACAGCCATCCTTGCAGCTTAATCTATAATCTTTTTTTTTTCTTTTATCAATTAAGTCACCGTTTAAGTAAAAGTTCTGAACATTCCCAGGTTTCAGCTTCTTAGTTAGAAGACAAAGAAAAGCAGCGAATCCTCCTGTGATAATGAAATGAATGCCTCGAGGTTTGGGAGGACAAAACAAGCAATTAGACGATCTCAGCTTGAGCTTCAGGAAACTGTGATAGCAAGTTTTTATTTGACATTTTTTGGAAGAAAAGAATCAATAAATAAAGAAAAAGAATTTGCAGCTTACTTGGTAATGAAAATAGTTGTTAGTTGAGAAAATAACAAACCATACAAGGTCTTATTGATTGACTCCCTAATCCCCCCACTTTAATCTGTTCCAGGTTCATATTTGAAATCCAGAGGTGGGTTTCCATCCCCGTCACACCAGATGTGCTGAATCTGTGGTCTGTTTTAAGGGAACTCATTTAGGATCACCTTTTTATGACTGCACCTTTTGCCTTTAGCCTCATTTCTGTGTATTTGCTCCTGTATGTGACGCACTTTGATCTCCAGCAGCTGCAGTAACTGCTCTTCCAGCGGTCCTCTATCTTCTCTTAAATCCACAACCTCGCAGTGACTTTTGTCTGTGCAGTAACACTTTAAAAGCATTCTTTCTGTTTATATAATGATAGAAAACCGTCACGTGTTCTTTCATCAGCGCTGCAGACGCTGTGAAGAAAGCAGCCACCCCGAAGCCTCCCTCTGCAGTTTCTTCACAACAGCTTGTGAATCTTGTCGGTGCAGTGAGAGAGAGACAGGACCGACGCCATACGTAACACGTAAAAAGAACAACCTGCTTATCGAACGTCGGTTGGCTGTTCGTACCTGCTGGGGGCGGGGCTTCGCTCTCTGCCGGCTGCTCATTGGTCTCCTGAGCCATCAGGTCGGACGCGGTGGGTTCGGCCTGGCTGAGCTTCTGCAGAAGGAATCAACAGGTCAACAAGTCTCCAACACCAGACAGGAAGAGTTTCTCAGAAGTTGTTTTTGCTTCATTTTGTTTCTTTTGCTTCATGACACAGATTGGACGCTTTCCAATCAGTGTGAACAGTTTGATTTAAACACTTTAGCTACAAAAGACTGTGACCAACCAGCACATAAACACTTTGTAATCAGAATCTGAATTTGACTTTAATGAGACATTAATCTTATAACTTAAGGAGAGTAAAGACAAAAAAAAAAAAAGGACAAGCATATATAAATATCAACCAGTACAGCACCTCGGCAGCGCTGCCTTCCTCGTCTCCTTCCTCTTGAGCGGAGGAAGGCGTGGCCCCCGTTTGACTGACAGCTGTCTGTTCAGATGCAGACGTTTCCCCGGCGACCTCAGAGGCGCCCGTGGCTGCGTCCATCTCCTGAGGAAGGAAAACAGAGAGGAAAGAAGACAAATTTGAGCTCATACTTTTGCCCTTTAGGAGTCAGACGGGGCGTCAAACGCGATCAGCCAGGCGGAGAGACAGACGGGTTCAAACAAGCCATCGGTTTATCCAGGTTATCTGAGGCAAATGGAATATGAGCCCAGCATTGCTCAGGTAACAGTGAGCACACAGCTTCAGCCTGTACGGAAGCTCGGAGGTGTACCAGAAAGCAGTCAACTGTACACGTTTGTTAAGTTGAAGTTCGTCTAACCTTCTTTTTACTGACGTTGCTGAGTTGGATGGTACATTTCGAGGGTTTATCCTGTAAATAAATAATAATAATAATAATAACAATAACAATAATAATAATAATAATAATAATAATGAATAAGAGGCCCACGTTGTAATAAACCAGAATCATCCTTTAAGATGCACAAAGAAAGAGCTAGAAAATAAAGTTTGGGCCATTAGATGTTTCTTTAAATAGAACTGCTGTGGGATCAGAAGGACGACGAGATGCTAAAAGCGAGAGTTTGGACTCTTGTGTCAGTATTTAGAGACACGTAGCATCCTTAATTCACAATCTTTAGTTTGCATATTTTTTCAGTTTCAGCCCCTTTCACTGTCACAAGCGGTTTATTGCTCACACTAACCCGCAGCCATCAGAACATTTCCGTTGCTGCCCCCATTTAGTCCCAAAGCCTCCACATGCCGGAATATTCTTAAAAACCTCACGACTCAGCAAGACGAACTGCTTGCTGGTGTTTCCTACTGGAAGCTAAACAGCACAAACAACACTCCTCAGCCAGTCTCTCAATCCGCTGCTAAATAAGTTTCAGATGTGCGGAGGGTGAGCCGAGGGAACGGGGGCTCGGCGGTGCCAGGGATCAGCCGGTTCCCCTGTGGGTTTGTGGTTAAAACTGATCATTTCTGCGGGAATGTACAGTCCAGGTAACGGTTAAACGTCGGCTGTCTGTTGGCTCAAATGAAAACAGTAGACAGCAGCAGCTCAGAGAAGTTATGGAGGATCAAGAAATGCTTGCTGATAAATAAAAGAATCATTTAACTGTCACATCTACCACAAGACTTCTTCCTTTTTTCCGCCAGATCACCGAGGTCCTCCTCTGCTTTTCTTTTAAATGTTCCCTGTGTGTGCCATTAAAGTACTGAGTGCTTTCTGTTTTTATGCCTGTGGAACGCACTCCCTCAGCATTTTTAAAAGCCTCTTTTCAATCTGGCTTTTACTTTGAAGTAATGTTACAGCCTTAGTTTTAAGGTTTTAGTCTTTGGTTTTTACATTATTTGTCTCCCTAGTGACTATTTTCACATAGACTTTTATTTTTATTTATTTTGTTTTTACAATTTTTATTGTATTCATTTTTAGCCTTGCACATTTATTTATGATTGTCCACTTTGCTCTGTGAAGCAGTCTGAGCTGCATGTTTGTATGAAAGGTGCTGAAACAAGGTCGAGGTGAGGTGAGGGAAGGAAAAAGAGAAACAGATAAAACAAATCTGATAAAAAAAAAGGTTCAATTCTTTGAACAGGTAGACTTCAGTGAAACGATAAACTGCCAAAACTGATAAAGATGTAAAAATCTTGGCATTACTTTAAAGTAAAATAGTTGAACTGAGAGGTTGTTTTTTTATGTTTGCTGGAGGGAGAGCTCTTACACAACCACATACTTCGGATTCAGCCTCGGGTCACTAACCTGTTTCAGCTCATCGTCGTCCTCTTTGTGCTCCTCGCTGCTCCCGCTGTCCGAGCCGGCTGCATCGGGCGCCGGGAGCTGCTCCTCGGCAGGATCACAGGCGGCTCGTCCAGGGTCCACCTGGCTGGGGTTGCCCGGGGTGGGTTCAGGCACTTCCTCCGAGTCCGAGGAGCTGGAGGAGCTGGAGCTTTCTGCCTTGTTAGGCGCCTCAGCGGACACTTCGGTGGGAGCCGGCTGTAAAATATGTACAAACAGGAACTTAGAACTGCTTCAAAATAAGACCCCCACTTCCTTGTCTCCCTTTCAGTTGGATTTAAAAGAGTAAACCGGCCCAAACTAAATAAGGAAATCTTTATGAATGTGCTTGTCAGTTTTAAACAGGGTGAACAGCAGCTGGGTGCTAAAGCAAACACAATCAAACAGGAGGAAATAGAGCGTTTGTCAGGAACTATTTCCTGTTGAGTTATCCACATTTGGTGCTCTGATGCATATTTTTGGCAGCAGGATGGTGTGTGTGTGTGTGTGTGTGTGTGTGTGTGTGATTGAGTCAAGATAAACTACTGTGTGTGTGTGTGTGTGTGTTCTCACGGTAATGAAACAACATGTCCCCCAGTGCAACCGTGTGGCTCACTGATGTGTTTTTAATAGTTTTTGGACGACACTGGAGCTCTGTAGCAGAGAGGGATAACGTACATAAAGCTTTGACACGCAGTACTGTTAGTAAGATCAATTCATTCCCAACTGAACATCATGAAACTACAAATCAAACATAAGAGAGAAAAAGACAAAAGAAATCAAAAAGGCTTCAGACACATGATGTCAAATGTGTTTGGCAGATCGTATTAATCTTGTCCTCGGCATGCGGGCCAGATTTAATTTGACCAGCTGGAGGTTGGAGACAAAAAGACTCTAAAACAAAAACTCTGCTTTTAATTCTGTTCAGTCGAAACATCTTTGTTCTGTTAAAAAACAATCAGTGCGGTAGTGTGAGGCTGTGTGCGTCTTAAAGGAAAGTGTGTAGGGAAAAAAAACACAACTCTTCTGCTGTCAGACACAAAGCAAAGTAATCAGGGTCTGTAGACAGAACCACAAAGAGCCATTAACACATCGACACACACACTGACACACACACACACACACACAATTTGTCTCAGAAGATTATCATTCTGTCACACACACAGTTTCTGTCCAAACAACATTATCTACTGCATCACTGGGCCAACAGAAAGGAACAGAGACGAGACTTAGATACACTCACATACACACACACACACACACACACACACACACTTGAAATAACAAACGAGCAAACTAACAGATACAGGACAGATGGGAAAGACATGAAATGTGTCTGTGTGTATTTCAGAGGCATATAATAACACTGGAGCTACTGTCCATCTATCAGCACATTATTACAGTGGCTGGACAACAGCTATGCGTGTGTGTGTGTGTGTGTGTGTGTGTGTGTGTGTGTGTGTGTGTGTGTGTGTGTGTGTGTGTGTGTGTTTGTGTGGAGAGAGAGAGAGAGGGTGGTGGTTTCCTGCTGGTGCAGAAATATTCAAGACAAGTTACTTTTACTCTAAATTCATTGTTTCCATTTATAATGAATCAGCTTTGGGCTGCAGTCAATCTAAATACAACCAACTGCAATCTGCAAATTAGAGAAGCTGTAAAGATAAAATGTGAGCCAGCAGCTCTGTAATGAAAGTAGGGTAAAGTTCTGAAGAGCTGCCCAGATTTTAAAAGACATGTTTGTTTGGTCCAGACGCCAACAAATGCCACCTCATTAAGATTTTAATAGTTTTTTTTTTTTTTCAGTGAATGAATGCAAATATGATCATTCCCACACTAATTAGGAATCATATCGTAATATCTGTCAAAATAATGGCAACATGATGCATATTCTGCAGCCCTTAATTAGATATGGTAAATTGTAGTCTTGGATGATTTATTCATCTTACCTTGTTTAATTCATTCTGAGAGCTTGGATCTTTTCTTATTCGTTTTCTTTGAGGTCTATTTCAGATTATATACATACTGTCAGAACTGGGATCTATTCGACGAGGAACGTGCTGCTCGCTCATTCAGCTGCAGAAAACGCTTCAATAAATGAATTTTCTTTAATCCGACTACAGTATACCGATGTGCAGAGGATGTCTGTAGCGCTGTAAACACTGCTAACACACAGATAATGTCTTTATGAAGTGTGTTTGGCTCTGATCCCTATCAAACCCTCACATACTGTTCTGTTTTTATTTTTTAGTAGGACAGCAGTGACCACGGGGGACACTGTCATGAGAACTGTCTGCGTTCAGAAACTGAAGCACATAGGGGTTAAAGGTTAAACAATAGGACCTGCAAATGTTACTAAATATCCTCAAAACAAATTAAAACCGCTTTAGTCCCAGCTCATCAACAGAGATCAAATTAGGGGTTGAAGGGGTCAGAAGAGACTTACTGTCCAACACATCGTTGATCTGGCTCCTCCCAGATGAGAAGTTTTTAATTAGTAATGATTTTTTTGTTTGTTTGTTGGTTAAATGTAGTAATGTTGAATTAATAGTTATACTTAGATAGTAGTTATGAGGATTTCTTTACGATATAGCAGTGAGGACAGCAGCAGAGTGTTGTAATGGTTATAAATGGTTATATAATAAAACCACACGGTTCCACAATGTTCTTGTTAATTTCAGTTTCAATAAAATACATTAAAATCATTATATCTGTTACGTTTTCCTTTCTTAGGTAAAATAGGACATGATGATATTCTGTTATAGCGTGTAGACCTAAAAGATACACACCTCCCTGCTCTCTGAAACAACATCAATCACCCTTTCATTGAGGTCAAATAGTCTAAATTTGGTATAGAAACATAATACACACTGACACTATATTAAGAAGATTCAGTATATCAGTGTTGTTTTTGGGTAAAAATGCATCCGGCACTCTAAATATTGAGCTTCAAATTCAAAACTGTTCACGTCGTATTATTGTGAGCAAGAAAACGAGAAATATACTTTTTTTTTTTTTTACACATTAATCTGATTTGATGCCACACATTTTGTTCTTACGAGGGTCTCGATGAACTTCTGCAGACGTGGCTACAACCTGCTGCAGACATCGATAATCTCATTGGCCAGCAGCGGTGGATGAAGGACGACGCAAGCAGCAGACGGATTGTTAGAACAATAAAGAGGTGTGAAGGTATACCAGATCAGGAGGAGGCCGTCAAACTCAAAGAGTGTGAAAACAAAAGGGAATGTGACTCTGAAGGTTTAATGCTGAAGGTCGAGGGCGGAGACAGCATCACTTGTTTTACCCTCTCTGCTCACCTCTTGCTCGGCTTTTGTTTCCTCCTCCTCCTCCTCTTTCTTTTCTTCTTCCTCTTCGCTGTCGGAGGCGTCGAAGCTCTCGCCTACTGAGTTTGTTGTTTTGGTTTCACCGACCGGCTGCAGCAGCTGCTCAGCGTCGGTCGTAGACTCTGACGGCACAAAATACAGATAAAGGCTTTATGGTCAAAACGTATCACTTAGGTACCAAAAATAACAAAATTATACGACACAGGACAAAAAAAAAATTACCACAATCTTTTAAAAACAAACTAAAATTATCCAAATACAAAAAAACAAAACTTCCTGAAAGAGAAAACTTACCAAGTGGAGGTTTGGCATCCACATTATTTTCTTCTGTGGTGTCGGAGGGTTTGCCGTCTGCACCCTCTTCTTCTTCGCTGGTGGTTGGTTCTGGTTTGATGCTCTGCTTCTTTAAAGCAGTGGATTCTTCGGTCTCCTGTTTGGCGTCCTGAGCTAGAGAGCACAGCCTGCAAAACACACTATGTTATGTCCTTTAACTTATGTAAAGTGTCTTTGAGTAACATAAATAAAATCTATTATTATTATTATTATTATTAATAAATGAGCACTTTCTGATCCTTGTTCTGACGGGCTCACAGGAGGAGTTTCGTCTTATTTTTGGGTCGGCCGGTACGATTGTGACCAACCGGCTCTGATTTGTATTGTTTTGGTGTAAGAGTCACATCTCATAGACGTGAGCTGAGGTCATTCACTGCATCATCATCTATCTGCTGCCCGTTTAATCCCTTTCAGGGTGGCGGGGATTTGAAGCCAATCCCAGACTGCACTGGGCAGGAGGCCAGACAGTAGACGGTCATTCACAGGGACACACACACACACACACACACACACACACACACACACACACACACACACACACACACACACTCTAATAGTCTAGTTTGCTTGATGATTAAATCATTTAAAATAAAAGCCATGAAGAGCTAAAAGTTCACAACAAATACAACTTATTCTTTTCTCTCCTAACCGCCATCAACCACGAGATCTTTAAGTTCTTTAGGTTGTTGTTGGTTATTCACACTGGAGCAGACTCAAACATCTAAATGTATAACTAACTAATCATTGGGTATTATAACTGTACAGTGTATTCAATCCAGGTTAGTGTTAAAGAGGAGGGTCCTAGTTTTATTCAGCCTCTATAATTCCATTTTAATACCGTTTAATGTTTATTATTTGTCACTTTTATACTGTGTTTTGTTTCCTTCTTGAGCGTCCTTATTTTGTTTTCATGATTTATGCGACTCGGCTGCACTGGGACGACATATTTTATCATCTTCATCCGTCCATCTTTCTTAACTTGTTTATGACATTTGAGAAGACCGTTTCCTGATTGAAAACAGCAGCAGAGACTTTGTGACTTACTTCATCCAGCCTGTGTAGATATCACGCAGGTTGGAGCTCTCCTCTGGGGTCTCCACCTTCACAAACACATAAAAAAAACACAATAATATTAAAGCTATTGAACAAGATCACATCACAGGAACCACAGTGCTTTTGAAACGTTCCCTGAAATCCACATTTTTCCAATGTTTGACCGATGCCCGAATGTTTCCATCTATAATGAGACGGCTGGACAATATTCCTGTAACCCAACTATGATGACGCAGACAGAAGAGGGAAAGAACACATTTCCTGTGGTTCAGGAATGCTTCCACTTTGATGCCACACGCCGGAAATGAATCCATGCAGCAGAAATCCACGTAGGTTTAGATTTAGGACCAGTGTTCATTCTTGTGGTCGTCCTAAAACTCTGTCAGCAACTTTTAACAATTATATTTTTAGCACATGAGCCTGAAACCTGAAACCTGTGACTGACCAAAGCTCAGGTTTCACCACAGCAGACATAAGAAATGACATACGTGTAATTGTAGTTGCAAGAATAACACAATTAAAGTGACATTACGTTAAAAACTTCATTAAAAAAACAACTATTTTTGTAGCAGAAAGAGATTTAATCATCCAATCAGACAGAAGAGTTAATTTTAAAATGTGTTTTTATTGATATTTGATTGAATACACTGAAAACATTATACAAAAACACCAGTTGAGCAATGTGTAACCTTTTTACAGCCTCTGAGTTGCATCATGACTCTGCATATTTATTCTGGATATTTAAATCTGCAACCAACAACTGTTATCATCAATTAAATCTGGAGATTATGTTTAAGATTAATTAATTTATTGTTTGGTCAATTAACACATCAGAAAACATTTCAATCATAAATTCCAAAGTTGTATCTTTAAATGACTTTTTCTGTCCAACCAAAATCCCCCCAAAAATATGTAAATTTACTTTAATGTAAAACACATTCTCAAACATGAGGACCTGGAGGGACAGCTTGAATAAATTACCTAAAAACTATTAATTGATTACCAAAATAGTTGCCGATTAGTCTTCTGTCGATTGTTTAATCAATTAATCCAGTAATCATCGCAGCTATAGGACACTTACATAAAAATAAACAACTTTTATCACTAAACAGTGTAAAAATGTAAGGGGGTTTGGAATGGCGTCAGTGTGCAGCAGCAGGCCTGCAGCAGAGGGCAGCTGCTGAAACAAAATGTTCTTTTCGTGCAGGAGGCCTGAACAAGGAGCCATGTGCTTAAACACACACTCAAGAGAGAGAGTGCAGCTCACAGACAGCAACTCTGGAGCAAAAACACACACTCAAACCACATTCATATTTAATCCAGCCTCTTATATAACGTGCAAAACAAGCATGTTAGCGAAATAAACAGCAATAAAATCAGCAAAAAGCATCAAAATTAACACAAAAAAAAAAACAGCCATGCAGAAGCGACTCAGCTCCCTGTTGGGGGGGAAGGATTTCAGACCTAACTTACCTGAGCGACGTGTTTTTCGAGCACCTTTGCAGCTTTCTTGTAGCCGTTCACCTTCAGGTGCTGGTAGATGAGGAAGAGCAGCGCGCCGTCTTCCTCCGGACCCATACTGAGCGACTGCAGCCACTGACACCGCCGGGAAACCGACCCAAAACTGGAATATTATTGAGCACTTACTCACAGTTCAGTTCATGCTCGCTATTCAGCGTGCGGCCATGAGCGCTGACGACGCCCCCCTCGAACTGCACCATGGGAAGTGGAGTTTGTTTTTGTGTGTGTGTGTGTGTGTGTTTTTTTTTTTAAGGGCAGCAATGGAAAAGCAGAAAGCTTCTTCTGAGAATGAAGAAGTAAAATTAACCAATAATACATCTTACAATAATCTCACGCCTATGAAAATGTAATATATTATAGTTACAACTGTTTATATTTATATATTGCAAGCCAGATATATTAAAAAAACTTAATTTCAATTAGTTAATTAAATCTCTGTAATTTCAGTTTGTTAAATATCCGCTTATTATTTCTCAGTTTATTGGTTTAATAGGAACATCGTGGGCTTTGATAATGAATTAATAAGCAACTGGTCGCTTTTGGATTGGATTTAAATTTTAAAAAAGCAAAGTAAGTACATTAATTATTCATTAAGTATCAGTTGGTGCTCAATTAATGGATTTTTTAGACTTTCAACGGGATTTTTTACAGAAACAAAATAACTTCTATAAAATGTATTATTTAGTTACTTCCTCTCTATAGAAGCCCAATATCATGTTAGGAAGGGGGGCGGAAATACTCATGGTGAGTAAAATGTATCAGTAAATGAGTCACATCTTTTACAGTCAAGGCCTTAATAAGATAAACAAAAAGAAATGTATTTCTAAACACTACACAGCCCTGAGAACAGGAAGCCTGGACAATGCCATCAGCAAAACATAGCTGCTCACCCTCCCTAATTTGGACTCATTTGTCTTTTACTGGCAGAAATAGGCTTCCTCAAACCACCATGAATAAATTACATAAAGACCCATGACAGTAATAATGAAATATTAAAGCCTTGGCACTTAAATGAACAATTATTACTGGTTTAAGGGGGAAATGAAGGGTGTTTAAGGGTTAAAACCACCGTGTGTTTTAAGTCTGGTTGAACAGCGTCTGGCACTGTTCCTTCCTGCATTGCTCCCTGCCAGTGAATCAGGCTTTAATAAATCACTGCTCTGTTTGTTGGATACTTGAACCTCCAGCAGACTCACTGTTTGACATGTTCAAATGGAGACAAATAGTGTGAATGAATAACACCAGTCAGAAGAAATAAGAGCTTACAGAGTGTTAGAAGACCAGGACAGAAACGAGTCGCCTATCCCTTCATTCTTTCTGCCTGATTTACGTTCAGGTGTTTTATAGAACCGCTGTCAGTCATCCCATCAATTCATCCATTCATCCATCATCGTTAACTGAACCACAAAGAGGAAAAACAGGATTTCTGTTTGCGACTTTCAAAATAAAAGCACTAATAAAGTCTTTGTGCAGCTCAAACCAACCACAGAAAAAGTTGTACGGCACTTTAACTCATGTTCTCTACCTAATATTATAATCAGGGAATATAATATAACCATATCATCAGGGCTACAAGTACCAAAACAATACATTTTTGACACATTACTTTGAGGAATTAAAGCATGTTTTTCTTTAACGCTCTTTTAAAATTATAAATAAATGAATTAAATGCAACATATTTAAAAGTCTAAGCAGATGGTGAACCCATTGAGACGCACCATCTCCTTGTCAAGGAGGTTTAAATTCATAGAAACTGTTCATAACTAGTTTTTGTATTTAAATCAATACTAATAAAGAGTACACACCTGACACCCGATGCTACAGACACATTTCAGTCAGTATAATACAACATACTGAGGTTTAATGCTACTGACTGAATGTTTGATGAAACCAAAGTACAATTTAATTTATACATTTAATATTCTCGATTGGGTTTATTGATTTATACACACTTACTGTCCTAATACAGGACTTTCTATTGACTGATTAATACCAATTATTATACTGCTTTGTTTTCATATTATTAAAAAGGGTTTGTTAAAGCTCAATTAACCAGCTTATCTCACTACAACTCCTCACAATGATGCAAGTTTCTTTGTTTCATTCTTTAAACCTTTCTAATAGACATTATTGATTCATTTCTAGGGATAATTAGAGCTTTTGTTTTTCCGGATTAATCTGCCCTATTTTCCGGCCTCACGCTGGGTTTTGCCTCTGGATGTCTTGATGCACTTTTGCATCTGTAACGTTGCGTAAAGACAGAAATTCCTGGTTTCCTCCGGAGTGCCAGCTGGCTCTTCTGCCTGCTCAACAGTCCCGGGCTGCAGCCACACCGCTCGGCTGGGGTTCCCGCCACAACCAAAGGGGGAAGAAGTGTGTTGTGATGACAACAATCAGAAGATACAGGAAACACATCAAGGCAGCAGTTAAACGAGGCGGGTATTAAAGGGCCGGGGGGCTTTTTTATTGCCCTCATTTCCACACGCACAAGTTACAGCAGGACGGCGGATGTTAAAACTATTACCGCCTTCAAAATAAAAGTGTCCGAATGAAGCAGCTGCCTTGAGTCGAAGTTCAAACTTGAAAAACCAGGGAAGTTAATGTAGCACGGTAACCATGGTGATGGAACGCTATCTCTGATCGCTGATTGGCCACCCGCTTTAGTTGCCTTGGTTACTAGTTATGTTAACGTTAACTCACTGTTACTAAGACTCTAACGTTATATTTGACTTTAGGAGGTAATTTAGACGTAACTGGGGCAACCCAGTCCTGTATTTAACACAGAAATGTTTTTTATTAAAGAAAAGTATTGTTTGATTCGGATTTTACCCTTTTATATGAAACTGTAATTGTTTTGGCTTTTTTTTTTCTCCTTACCCCTCTACCAAAATAAATCGATTTTATATCATCAATTTGATCCTTCTTGCCAAATTCCACATCCACAAATCTAAATTGTATTCCAAATCTAATATTTATAAACTTTTTTTTAACGTTAATTCATGATTTCTGATTTCCCGTTTGTCGATAAAGTTTTAAAACCAAAAATCGAACGTTAGCCTCCTAGCCAACAAAGTTGCTCGCCATAACTTTAGCCAATTAGCTGGACCTAGCCACCAATATGTGCGTTTCATGTACCGTTAACATTCATTTTTTAATTCTTGAGACTTAACCACAGGTTTTACAAAATGTAATCAGCGTCCACCATAAAGTGTGAACGAGAGAAAGGTTGTAGGAGAGGCTTAAAGCAGAACTATGTGTAATATATTATGTGTGGGTACGGTAAGCTAAGCTAGCCTGGTGACATGTAACAATATACCAACTATAACTAATAAGGCTGTTAAATTATTTTACCTTTTTGTTAATTCTTGACTTTTCTCTCTTTCCAGGAACTCTTGTTTAACGTTACAATTAGCAGTGTGCTACTTTGGCGGTTAACGCTAACTAACGGTTAATTATTAACTAACGGTTGGTAACCGTTGGCCAACGGTTGGTGACCGTTGGCTAATTTGGGACCGTTTTTTTTTTTATTTAACATACTGTATTATTCACAATATAAACTTGTTCATTTCCAATCCACCTTGGTCCTTGCTTAAATTATTTTAAATTAACTTTTTAAATTTTTTGTCTCCGGGTTTTATTGTGGCAGGTCGGGCCGGTAGTGTGTGCGCGGTGCTGCCGGCCGTTGACGTTGGTCGTATTTCATTGGGAATGTGGACGCTCAGACTGAAGGAAGGAAGGTTTTTGTGGAAACTTGAGGACATGCGGCGTCTCCCTTTACTCAAACTTTACTCAAACCAAACTCCCTGCGAGCCGAAGACAGAGCCGAGGAGCGAAGAATGAACTGAAGAGCTGTGCAGAGGAAGAGGAGGGGGAGAAGAAGGAGCCGTTCACTCTCATTGATCCTGTATCGAAGGTATTGATTTTGGGGCCTGGCTTTAAAAAAAAGTAACACAGCTGTTTGAGGGGAGTAGATGTGCAATCAATTAAAGAAATGTGTTGATTTTACAAATAACAGTGAGCTGTTTGGATTGTGTGCAACCTGGATTTAAAATAAACACTGATATTGACAAATAGTGTAATTCTAACAGGGTTCAGTCAGTGTGCACACCTCATCCAAACACACTTTTATACCAGGATCAGACTCAACTTGCATAGTCTGAACACACACACACACACACACACACAAGTAGAGGGTAAGGTGTGTGTGTGTGTGTGTGTGTGTGCTGTTGCCATGAACACCAGTATATCTGATGAGAAACCAGTTGAGATATCAGTAGTAATGGTCACCAGCTTTGTGAGACAGCTGCTGTTAGTCAGATAAAATCAACAACGCGTTGGCGTATTGGCTTTGAGGGTTTGTAAACATGTCATAGATGATACAAACTTACACAATATCTGCTCTCTGAGACAATAAAGGGCTATTCACTATTAAAAAAACAGCCCTGAAACATCTGCCGGCTGTGGTAACTGTTAGACCAGAGTTCACCGGGGTGGTGTATTGAATTTCATTTTAATGTAAAGTAATAAAATATTAAGTGACACCTTCAAACATAACGTGATCCACTAGTGCTGAAATGCATCGATCGATCGACTTTAAAAGATATTTATCAAAACCAAAAATATGAAACACTTTCCCAGTTCTCTGGTTCAGTCTTTACTTTTCTGTTTCACGTCGTCGTAGAAGTGAATATCTTTGAGTTTTGGACTGTTGGTCAGGCAGAATAAGATGTTTTAGGGCAGTGAGAACGTGTTATAGTTATTGTTCACAGTTCTTTCACATTTATTAATCAGTTAATTAAATGAATCATTGACAGATCAATCGAGAGTGACAATAAATGTTAGTTTAAGCTCTAAAAGTAACACAATAAGACTAATATTAGATTTATTCTGAAGGTGTATATATGTATGTATATGTAGTTTAAGGTAATGCTTCCAAACTTGCATGTTGTGTTAAACATTATAATATAACTGAGAGTGACTTCTTTATGTCAGAACTGGATTTTACATGATTTATTCCATTAATGTGATCAATTAGCTTAATTATTAGATAAAAACATGAACTCCAGTCTGCTAATTTTATACATAAACTGTTTCTCTTTTCCTAGAAAAATAACTATATACTATACTATATGAATATCCCCAGATAAATGGATATACCCACTAAGACCGGTCTGCGTCTGCTCGCTGTGACTCAGCTCCAAAAGACTGTAAACGCTGAAAAGCGACCTCCTCGGAGTTTCAGTTCTCTCTCTCCACCAGATGGATGTGTTTTCAGATCACAGCCAAGTTGGCAAGTCCAACTCAAATGTGGTTTTATGATCTACAGTTTCAGTCCACCACTGATGGCACGCTTGTGTGAGTTTGTGCCGACTCAGACATTTCTAAGTTCCACTCCCCTCCCCGGGTTTTTTTTTTTGTTTCGTAGAAGTTCTCGCCGTATTGTCATTTAGTTGTTGTTGTTGTTGTTGTTGTTGTTGTTGATCCCCCTCCCCCGCAGTAACGATGCAGGCTGCGGCTGCGGCTCTGACCCTGCTGAGTGTTTTCTTCAGCCTGTCTGCTCACGGGTCCAAACCGAAGCAGATGCAGCACCAGAATCACAGGAACGCTCGGAGCGACGAGGCAGGAGTGAGGAGGAAGAACCAGCCGCACATCGTGTTCATCCTCACAGACGACCAGGTAGGTGTTGTGTGTGTGTGTGTGTGTGTGTTAAAGAGCTCGTCTCATGATGAGGATCACATCTGTAGCAGCATTTTACCTCTCATATAAAACAAGATGCTTAACTGCACCTGATAAGAATTATAAATACTGTATATTATTAATAATTACATAGGAATAGATGGTGTAAGGTTCCAAAAAGACAAGAATAATTAAGTTTTTATTACGGGATAATATTGGAAAAGTCAAGTTAAAAGTAGAAAACCAAAAAAGAAAACTTCCACACCAACGTAGTCCCACTTTTATGATGGAATTAAGAGTTAAAACCCTGACTGATCAGTCAGTTGATCGATTGATTGATTGGTGTAGAATTAAAAATAACAACTGGATGAATGAAGTTAATGTGTTAAATAGTATGTGTTATTGGGTAAAATTTATATTGATTATGTTACAACAACTACAAAACAAAACCAACATGGAACCAATATTTCCTTTCATATCCATCAGACTTTTTTTTTGCTAGTATGGATGTAAAATAGGTCTTAAACTGTATTAATAATAGTCTAAAGCTTAAATAAATTAAAAAGGTCTTAAACTGTATTAATAATAGTCTAAAAAGGTCTTAAACTGTATTAATAAAAGTCTAAAAAAGGACTTAAACTATATTAATAATAGTCTAAAAAAGGTCTTAAACTGTATTAATAATAGTCTAAAAAAGGTCTTAAACTGTATTAATAATAGTCTAAAAAAGGTCTTAAACTATATTAATAATAGTCTAAAAAAGGTCTTAAACTATATTAATAATAGTCTAAAAAAAGTCTTAAATTTGTCCTAAAATAAACTGATTGAAAGATTAGTATGCATCAGTTCATTAAACTCCTAAATAGCTATCGGTTGAGTTTGTAGGGACTATTGTTGAGTGTTAAAAAGCTATTGAACCGTTGCTGCTGTGAGGTTTTGTTGGGTTTAGCTGCTCACCTTCTCACATGAAATAAACAAAAATGTTCCAAAACAAAAGGCACAAAGCAAATATTGTCCATAAAGAAAGGATAGATGAGTATCATCAAAAACTGTACACCTCTCTCCCGCTGCAACACACCTGACCCTGATTAAAGAAAGTAATCTATGAGTAACATCTTATTCTTCTAAAAAAAAAAAAAAAAAAAACAGGGTTTCAACGACATCGGCTACCATAACCCGACCATCAAGACTCCTACTCTGGACAAACTGGCGGCGGAGGGCGTGAAGCTGGAGAACTACTACGTTCAGCCCATCTGCACACCGTCACGCAGCCAGCTCATGACCGGCAGGTACCGACGCCGAGCAACCTTTTGTTCACGCTACCTGCCGTACTGTCGTTGCCACACAGAGCAACCGTGCAGCTTAAACTATTACAGATATATTTATATGGCTGTTTTTTTTTTGTTTTGAATCAATCAAATAAGTTAAAAAATGTATTTAGTTTGAGCACCACTCAATATGTGTTTTGGCATCAAGCTGGGTGGCAGTAGGATTAGTGATTAATGATCATTTTTGAATTCCAAAGATATTCAAATCACACATTAAAAACAAAGAAAAATAGCAAATCTTCACATTTTAGAAGCTAAAACCAGGAAATGTTTTTATATTTTTGCTTTAAAAAATGACTTAAAACTATTATCTGAGATTTGTCTGTCAATAGATCGATAAGTAGACAGGTTTCAGCACTCATTCATACTCTCACATGTCTTATTTCATTCTCATTTCATTGTCAGATTGTTAAAATAATAGATAATTGTTCAGTATCTTTTCACAGAATATTATTGGTTCAAGATAAAATAAGACTTTATTGATCCTCATGAGTTAAATCTGTCCGACACAAAAGACGTCGCAGCAGAACAGTTATTGAGTCTGAGGCTTTGGTTCAAATGAGGTAGCCGCTCTGAATAATCAGATTATTGATTAGGCAACCCAACTGCAGTGAGCATAAATGGGTCCCTGGTTCTACTGCGAGGGCTGAGAGCAGATCCTGTGTGAGCAGTTAGTCTGGTAGAGAGCCAATAACAAGTCTTTTTCCTCCCAGATATCAGATCCACACAGGATTACAACACTCCATCATCAGACCCAGACAGCCGAGCTGTCTGCCTTCACACATGGACACTCTGCCCGAGAGGCTCCGCGAGGCCGGCTACACCACACACATGGTCGGCAAGTGGCACCTGGGCTTCTACAGGTGAGATGGAGACTGTACAGGTATCAGTATGGATGAATCTGACCAGGAGTTTCTGCTCTACGGACACTATTAACAAACTATTTAAGAGTTATTACCCCAAACACTCTGCTAATGAGGCGAGATCACCAGAGCTTGTTTTATTACTCTCCCCCCTCACTTAGACTTGTGTCTAAGGTAACACTAATGTGCATCTGCTTGTGGTGGATATAACTGCTCATAGCCAGCTGCTTTCATTTGTTCCAAACAAATCAGAAGCTTAAATGTCTAATATTTTTCCGGTTAGTTGATATCATTTATTTAAAGCCAGCCATTCATCGTGCTGCTTTCAGTTCTACACACAAAAAGCGTGAGAGAGAAGTTCAAACCTGCCAGCCAATCACTACGTAGAGTGGGCGTGAATGTCGGATTGTCTGTTTTCATTGGTTACATATATCACAGCCCTCCCAGTCTGATGTTGGAAAGCTTTGGTGGGAGAGGGGTTTCAGATGCTGTCTGACTTATCTGAGAAGCACTGTGGTTAAAGCATCCAGACACCAAGTCTGCGTCCTTAACCTCTTACCACCCACTGTCCCACCCTGTGGAAGACCACCACCGCTTCATAGAACCCTTACAAACTGCTAGTGCGACAAAAAGTCACATGAATATGAACATGTATACATCTGGTCTTTCCAGTCATTGTGGCCATCTGAAACAAGAATACCCTGTGGTCAAAGTAACCCTGCAGAGTATACACATGAGACGAAACCAGTATGAAGTCTCTCTACCTTCTAAGCAGTCTTGCAGCTCAGTTAATTTAGTAGCTGTTCAAAAGCAGGTGATGAGGTAAGAAGATCATATAAAGAGTTATATGCATGTGATCATATTGTGATTTGTCTTTATTCTGTTTGCTATGTATGGTAAAAGCACCCTGGGGAGTTTTTTGAGCACTAGCTGCACTATGGAGCAGCGTTTGAATGAGAGGGTCTTTGTTTTGCACGAGCATTAGCATGCATGTGACACCATACAGATTCCCGCCAATGATTTCACACTGTTCAATTAATCGCTGAGTGGAATACACAAAGAAATTAAGCAAGCCCGTAAACAATGCTGATTAAAAGAAATCTATTCACAGTGAACGTAAATAAAACTAGAAGAAAACCTTTGAGAGCTGCTTGTGTATAACAGTCTCATAGATGCTCAGTTTACTTTCTCTTTCGTCTCTCCTCCAGGAAGGCATGTCTGCCCACCAGAAAGGGTTTTGACAGTTTCTTTGGTTCTTTAACAGGAAGCGTGGATTACTACAGGTAAACATATATGATTATTAACAAGGACTGACCACAGTGTTCGTCTTTATAATCTATTTCTATAACTATTCTCTCCATCTGTCCCCAGTTATGGGTCTTGTGATGGCCCGGGGTTGTGTGGGTACGATCTCCATAACGACGAGGGTGTGGCGTGGGGCCAGGAAGGGAAATACTCCACCACGCTGTTCACACAAAGAGCTCGCAAGATCCTGGAGAGTCACGACCCCACAGACAGGCCGCTCTTCCTGCTGCTCTCCCTCCAGGTACCACATCGAGGTTTGATATCAGAAAAATGCCAACGTAAAACATCTCTGGGACATGATTTAAGTTTAAGCCCCTCAAAATGAAAAAGAAGACTGTTTTTTTGCGGAAAAGTTGCAGAAAATTGTTCAAATAAACTACAGTCTGACATGTGTTTTGATGCTGCGTTAGTTTATGTTTGGATGTGGGGACTCAGACATGTTGAAATAACACTGAGGCCACATTAAAGTGTCTGTTTGTCTATGAGCACCAGAAACTTATTTGAAACTGTTTGGCTCATATGGACCCTGAACCATCTGATTGAAAACAGGCCACACAGAAAATGTAACTCAAAAGAGTGGTATTTGTTTATTGGTGGGCAGCCATGTTCATTTGATGTGAAGAGTTGGACTGAGCGGTTTGTGAAAATCGAGCTGATGCCCTGACAAGGACCGGCGAAAACAAAACAAAGGGGTGTTTTATTAGATTTTTTTCCCCCTGGTAGGGAGAAGAGAACGCTAAATTCCAACTTATGCGCCATGAGTAAAGAGTTGTGGGGCATTCAGGGTTGAGGAAAGCGAGTTAGCTGAAAAGAAGCAGTGGATTTTATTCCAAAATAACTAGCAATGTTACATATATACAGTTTAATACTGTCGGCATATCTAAAAATACATTTATTTTCCCTTTAACATGAAAATACTTAATATCTTTGTGTATTTTACTTCCAGTATTTCTTTAAAATGTACACTGTGTTAATGTTTCCCTCCAGGCAGTCCACACTCCTCTACAGACTCCCAAGTCCTACATCTACCCCTACCGTGACATGGTTAACGTCGCCAGGAGAAAGTTCGCCGCCATGGTGTCCACAGTGGACGAGGCGGTCCGAAACGTCACCTACGCTCTGAGAAAATACGGATACTACCGGAACAGCGTCATCATCTACTCCACCGACAACGGCGCCCAGCCATTCACGGGAGGGAGCAACTGGCCGCTACGAGGCCGTAAGGTAGAAACCTGCTTATAGTCAGACTTCAGTTATCTTCAGTGTTTCATAAGTCAGTGGAAGTCGTTCTTGCTCCACTGTTGGAATATAATGAATATGAGTGGTACATGTGGAGATTTCTGTGCTTGTAACTAAACTTCCGGTCTCCAGGGAACGTACTGGGAAGGCGGAGTCCGTGGAGTGGCGTTTGTTCACAGTCCCCTATTGAGACGCAGGAGACGGGTCTCCAAAGCTCTACTGCACATCACTGACTGGTTCCCCACACTGGTGGGCCTGGCCGGGGGGAACATCAGCCAAGTCAGTGGAACATTAGAACAATGTTTTATGCTATTTGTGCTCTTCCCGAGCTTTTTGTTTTGTTGTTTCCTTGTATGTTTGTCATAAATGTTACTTAATCTCAGCCAGGTCTATCTTTTTAATCTCACAGTGAATACAGGATAGGAAAGGTCAGACCAGATTTAGGGATTGTGTTTCTCTCCTCGGCCACCCAAGGCTACAGATCACTTTACTGTAAGGCTCCTCAGAGTATACTGAATTTAGGTTCTGTGTGTTTTCCTAGTCGCCATGCCAGAAACTTTCCTCTGTGGTAACTTGACCCGCTCAGTGTCTCCCAACGATTTCATATTAATACACGATTTTATCTGTTGTCAGAGCTGAATGTGGAGCTCCATCTCAGTATGTTGGCCTCAGAATAAAGTTCAGGTCACAGCGCTACCGTAAAACCGTCGTTACTTACTACCATGTAGATAAATGTGCTCTTGACCTATTAAGATAAGTGCACTATTTCTTTGTGTTTTAGTTCAGACATAAATAAATGTTATTGGCAGCCTGTGTAGAGCTCCCAAAGAGCTTTGTTGGCTTAGTATGCAAGTAGGTTTTTCTGCCAAAGTAGCAAAGCAACACTATCTTGGCTACAATCTGGAGAATATCTGACAGAAACTCGATATCCACTATTACCGAAGGAAATTTATTATTATTTATTCCTGTGTGGTAAACATACAAGTATTTATTCTGGCATTAATGCAGGAAACACGTGGACAGTAATCATGCTTTCACATTAAAAGGGCCCTCTCATTACTCTACATATGACTCAGTCTTTGTATTCTCTGTGATATATATGCGTGTTTGTTTCACATTCAGAGTCAAGGCCTGGATGGTTTTGATGTTTGGCCCACCATCAGTGAAGGGAAGGAGTCACCTCGTCTGGAGATCCTTCACAACATTGACCCTCTGCACAAACCTGCTGAGAGAAAGACCTGGAAGTCCGACACAAAGGGAGCCTCAGGTGAAAATAAAAGTAAATGTTTAATTGTTCCTTCACAGTAAGGGGAAAGTAAATCCAAGCCAAAGTCAGTGACCTTACTTGTGAGATCAAGCCACTAGCATCTCTACAGACTCTTCTTGTGAAGGCTGAAGTGAAGACTTTTATAAAAATAACTTTTTGTCATATTTGCTGAAACTATATCCTGACAGATGAAGTGTGAGAAAAAAATAAAGGGCCTGAACGAAAAACCAATCAGAGCCGAGAAAGATAGAAAGACACTTTGGGTTGATTGATTGTTGACAACCCGGGAATGAGACTCAACAATCAGCTGTCTTTCTTCACTCTGATTGGTTGTTTTCATTCAGGCCCTGTGGATGAGAAAAGAGGAAAGAGAAATTTGGGGGCAAAAGGAGGGCAGAGCGAAATCAGAAAGGAAATGTAGTAAGGATGGATGTATAGAAGGAAGACATGTAAGCGGTAGCCTCCCCTACAGATAAGACAGCAATGGCAAAGCTAAGGGCAAAGGTTAAAGGAGTGTTTCCTTCATATTCCTCATTTGTCAAACTTGTGTGTTTTCTTTGGTTTGTCAGTGAAGAAGCTGAAAGGTCCAGGCCCGGCCTTTAAGAAGCCAAAGAGGAAGAAGAAGGTCCTGAGGCATCAACCAAAGCAGAAGTCAGCGTTCAAGTTGAAGACCACCAGGAAACCTCAGAGGTTTTCCTACCACGCTGCTAAACCTAAACCCAAGTCCAAGCCCCTCTCAAAATCAAAACTCAAACCCAAGACCAAAGTCTACGCTCAGAACCGGAGACTGTCACATCACAATCAACACCTGAAGTCTCACCCCAGTGGTACTCCATCTATCTCAGGGATATCCCTCCCTGAATCTCAGCCTCAGCTCCAAACACATTTTAAGTCAAAATCCAGGCGGACCGTATCCCAGAACCAGAACCTTCCGTCGCGGTCAAGACCACCTCAGCCAAAATCCAAGACACAGTTTAAATTACATTTAAGGTCAAAGTCCAAGCGGACATTAACCCAATACCAGAACATGTCCCAGCCAGGGACGCTGCAGCCCAAATCCCATCCAATGCCCCAGTTCGGGCTCCAGTCGGCCCAGCCTGTGTGGGACACCTCGGTCCAGGCTGCCATCAGAGTTGGGGACTGGAAGCTGCTAACAGGAGACCCAGGACATGGAGACTGGGTCCCCCCACAGGTACTGCAACCTGAATACTTTTACTCCTGTTTTCAAAATGATTGAAGAACAGAAATAATTACACATTTTGATCCTCAGGTACTTCCCACTTTCCCCGCTCCCTGGTGGAGCCTCGAGCGTTCAGCCCCACCCTTCCTCAAACCCTCCACCCACAAAAAGGTCTGGTTGTTCAACATCACAGCCGACCCGTGCGAGCGGCGGGACCTGACGGACCAGAGGCCGGACGTGGTCCAACAGCTGCTGGCCCGACTCGCCTACTATAACCAAACGGCCGTGCCGGTTTATTTTCCGCCCGACGACCCTCGAGCCAATCCCAGCCGGAACGGCGGAGCCTGGGTGCCCTGGGTGGACGAAGAGGAGGACGAGGAGGGAAAATATCACGGAGTGTACAAGAAAGGTAGGAACAGCAAGAAGAAAAAGAAGAAGAAGAAGTTGCGGGTGTGCAAGCTGCAGTCGTTCTTTCTGAAACTGAACACCGGGATGATGTCCAACCGGATCTGAGGGGAGTGCGTCTGAGACTTCAGTGTTTTTAGATGTTTTTTATATTGTTACATCTTCGCTTCCTGAAACCAACGAACAAAGTGGGAACAGAGTTAATTCCACTACATTCAGTTGAACAAAACCACCTTCAAAAACTTTCTAGAACGTGTCTTTTCACTGGCTTCACTTTTCAACTCGTTCCTCTGAAAATCAACAGTTTATTTTTTATTCTCAAACACATTTCTTTGTCGTTTACTGTCTGATTTCTAATAATGTTAAATATGAACGTACTGTCAAAACATCTCGTCTGAGATTAAGAATCAGGTCACTTCAGGCTTTTTGGGTTGACTTTTTAAAAGGTCAGTTCACTCGGATAGAGTAGGTCAACCACCAGTCAGAGGGGTTGGTGGTTTGATCCCCGGCTCTTCCTGCTGCATGTCAAAGTGCTCTAGAGCAAGATACTGAACCCCAAATAGTTCCCGATGACCTCCATCTGTGTGCGAATGGGATCAGTTTCTGTTTCCAATGAGCAGTTGGCACCTTCATATAAGTGGCTCTCCTATAAGATGACGTTACCCGCAGTGAACCAGTTTAAATTACAGTAAGCAGGAACATGTTTGTGAGATTTGGGTGAACTGACCCTTTAAATTATTACAGATATTTTTATTATAAACTGGCAATAAGGTTGTTTTCCAGTCTCTGTTCTTTCTTTCTTATGATGTTATCGTGTGACTTGTTTCTTGTTATTATTGTTTTTTACAAACTGACAGAGTTCTTGATACAAGGGCCGACACCGCGGGGCAGTAAAATGTTCTTGGACATTGTAAATGATTCGATAATGTGTCTTTAACTTTTGAGCAGAATGAACCAGAGAGCCATTTGATTTTAAAGAGTCTGCGTTAAGTGAAACACGCAGGTTTCATGTACTGTATGTTCTCACCAACAACTCATAATTTAAAAAAACGTCCCAGATCGAAGGTTTACCTTTTTTACAGCGAGAGTGCACGATCATTATAATTATTCCTATAAATCTATAAGTGTTAGTGTTTGTTTGTTTGTTATACGCAACAGAATCAGACATGGAGGTTTTAATATTTATCAGAAATACTGTTGGTTTTCTTTATGTATTTACTACGGCTGAATCAGGCCTTTGGATACTGTGGCTGTTTGAATGTATTTCTAATGGCAAACATGACTATGAATTTACAGTATTTAATGTTTTTAATTTACTACATTGCTACTGTGAACAGCAGAAACTGTTATTTGTTATTACTTATTACATGTTATCTCTCACTTATTCGGCCCTGTAGGATTAACACGAGACTAATATTTTCACATTTTTTAAGTTTTACTTGAACTACTTCGGTTGTTCCTCCTGACACCTGAGTGATGATCCCTTGAGTCCAATGAAAACACACACACACACACACTTGAAGATAAAGTGGCCGCCTGCTATCACAGACACCCAACAGACCATCGGGCTCATGCATTCAGGAAACAGTGAGGAGGAAGTAGAAAGTGTTTTTTTTACCAGCATTAGCAGCCCCTTTGACGTAAGTTGTTGGTTTTCTCCCGTTTGAGCAAGACACCTAACCTCTAAATATTTCAGTGTATTTGCTCAATATCTAAACAAACCACGACTGTGGCCGCTGTAACAGCAGCAGAGTGTTCCTGAGAAACAGTTTATAGGGACGCTTGATTTCCCCCACCCTGAGTAAATAAAGGTAAAAGAGAATTAACTGTGGCTCCGTCCTTTTATGTTTACTTGGAAACGACATACCGTTCATACAGTGAAACATCAATGTGTCTGAGTATCTCCTGAGACAGTTTCGTGTCTCTGCTGACCGTTAAAAAGACAAAGCTTTTATTTTCAAAGCTGTTTGTCTGTCAGTTACTGTGTAATTTATTTATTTTATTTACTTTCCGATTTGATGCAACTCAAGTATCACAGCAATCGAGAGAAAATTAAGTCTCAAAGTCCTCCTTTTCTGACTTTAGTCTGACTAACTTTAACTCTACAGCTCTGATTGTTATTAATGGATTTATATTTCATCCTAATTGTTCACGGTAATTATTTTAAAGGCTCAAAGAGATAAAATATACAAATAGTGTTGCAGTGTGTCACATTACAATCTCAGTGCACACAATGGGTTTAACCACTAGGTGGAGCCAGATATCAACAGTCCCTGCAGGGATTGGCAGTCCAGGGTATACTGAGTATGTCTACATGAGAACACACACACACACACACACACACACACACACACACACACACACACACACACACACACACACACACACACACACACACACACACACACACACACACACACTCGGGATAAAACAGGATTTTCCACGCTTGCTGTCGTCTTCCCACTTCACACTGTTTCCACAGAGGAATAATTGAATTTGGAGCTTCTTTTATCCCCCGAACAACACAAATGGGATTAAGTAATCCCTCTGGGATTTAAATATCATGATTCTTGGAGGCAGTTTTTGGTTGCTGATGCTGCTGAGAAGCTGCTGGTTTGATGCCGGCGAACCAAAAGTGGCTGCACTTCACAAACAGAAGGAATTCTATATAGTTAGAAGCTGGTTCCAAGAACAGACACGAGCCAAATCCTGAGAGAAAATGTTACAGTAAACATCATGAATTACATTTTGATGAAGACGTTTAAACCTTTTTTTTTTCCTGTAATTCACTACCAAGAGAAAAAACATTTATTTCATTTTATTTTCCTGCTGAAGCCTCTCAACCTTGAGTTTAGTCGGTTTAACCATTAATTCATTTTGACTCTCTGTGTTCACGATGCCACAGCATTTATATAGAAAACATTGGAAATTAACATAAATCTAAAGGCTGAAACAGGAAGAGGCTTTGGGGGGGGTTAAAGGGTCAGCTCATCTGAATTACAATAACTACAATATTACATATGTCTGGTTCCATCTGCTGAGGGTTTTAAGATCGTCTGTAGAGATAAAGACTCATTCTAAGACAACAAAAATGCAACAATTCCTGTTTTCAGGTGATTAAACACTAATAAAAACACACCTATGAACATTATATTTGATTTCTGCCAACATATCCTCCTAAATGTTACAAACTGGACCTTTAATTTGAGGTGCAGTGAAACATTTAAACTCTAATGTCTGTTTGAATCATACAGAGAACAAACAGTGAACAGATTTAATAAGGAAGGTTTTATATGGTAGTGAGCTCAGCACTGGTGTGTGCAGATGGAATGAGGAGGTGTTAGAAATACTGTAGGTTGAGGTCATATATAGATTTATCCTTTATTCATATTAAACCCGCTATATGTTTTCAGTTTTTCCAGCACTGAGTCCGTCTCTCAATACTTTCTGACGTCCCTACCCTGCCTGAGGCTCTCAGCTCGAAGCCCGCTGGCTCCTACTGAAGATCTAAATCTTTAAAAGAAACTCACAATTCATTCATTATAGTTTTCATATTTAAAAAGGAAGGAATTAGCACATTTATCAGGGACTACTTCCAGCTGTGGATGAATCCACATTTGGTGCTCTGGCGAGTGTTTTGGGGCTGCAGGATGGTGTTTGTTGGAGGCAATTTAAACTACACTGTGTTTTTAAATAGTATTTGGATAAAAAATGGAGCTCTGTGGCACAGAGGACTACAATATATCAGGCTCTGAATACACACATGTGACATTAACATTAATAAAGAATATCTCTAGACTAAACAAGCTTCATTCAGAGATAGATGGCTGTAGTGCGGCGTATTGTTGGCCCCTCTAGGATTGCTATTGTGAACTCTAACCTCGCTGTAGGGCTCGTTATTATTATAATTATTATCACTGGTTTGGACTGCATCAGACCTCATTTGGAGACAATGAGGTGTGAGTGCAAAAGAGGGGAAAGAAAAGTTGAAGTGAAGGAGACAAAAAAAAAAGCAATAACAGAGACACACACCTCAAAGCTTGAATAAGCAAGCTCATACATAAATAACGCACTAATTTCACCTACGTCATGCTTTCTCTCATCTCTCGCACCTTGAATTAACAAGTTTACGTAGAAATATCTCCCTTCTCACCCTCTCTGTCACACCCTCGCATACATAAACACACACACACACACACACACACACACAGACATAATGCAATCTTCTAACCAATAATCCTGCCTTCATCCTGCCTCCCCTCCAGGGAACCAGGGGAATATGAGATCTACAGAACCGAGAGCACGTGGGCGGCTGTGAAATTAGGATTCCCTTTCCACTGAGCTGCTTTTTTTTTTTGGAAGGTTTCTGCTGACACAATCAGAAACTCATAATTGAGTTCTGTTCTGTGGTCGCATTGACACGAGCCTCAGTTTGTACTCTCTCTTTTTTTTTTTGTTAGATTTAAAAAGAAAAGAAAAACTCCAAAAGAAAAAAGAGGCATGATGTTCCCTCTGTGCGGTTGCATGTTGAATTATGATGCTTCAAAATGGTTCAGAGTGACTTTTCAACTCCTCCCCGGCTCTAAATTGGGACTAAAGGCACATTAATGGGACTCTACAACATGACACGTGTTGCAGGAGTTCAGTTACGTCCTGGTCAGACCAGTTTGACACAAGTACGACGTGGATAAAAAAAACGAATGCTGGCTCCTCACCTCCCTCTCTTCCTCCCTCCCTCCCTTCCTTCCAGGGATGAACTTTAATTTTTCTTTACCTGTCACATCTTTTACCACGGCTCCTTTCTCATCTTTCAACCCCTTCACTCTCAATTTCATCCCTGTCTTGGCTGGCTGTCTTAAGAGTTACAGCTGTTTTCATCACTCACTGAGAAGCAGAAAAATAAAACGTCTTGCACGCTTTCGTTTTTTTTTGGAGGGACTTCAAGCTGCTGCTTCCATTCAGTTTTTTTTTTTAAATTAGCATTATACAAATAAATGGTGTGATGGTGTTAACATCCATTATCCATTATCATTTAAATGACTTGGCCCAAGATGGTACAGTTTTTCTCTCATTATCTGAGAGCTTCCTGTGTTGTTCTCAGATAGGTAGACAGCAGAGTACAGTGTATCTGATGGACAATGCTCGTTAATGGGGGACAGAACCATTTGGTTACTTGTAAGGTGCCAGTATACTCCATCGGAAGTGTTTCCATCCCCCCCACCAATGTGCAAAATGAAAATGTGCATGGAAACAGGTGGATGGAAAACTTCCAGGCTTCCAGGAACCGCTGTAAACACTTTTGCTCACAACATAGTCGGACGATGTGTCGCACAAACTAGATCTTTTCAAGCATGATCGCAGCTCAGGTCAACTAATTTGAAAAATCTGTGTTTCAGTTTGTGAGATTGATTTAACGAGTGAGCAGAAAAGTCTAAATAATTCGCTCACTATAACTTAAAAAATGGTTAAAAAAGTGAACTAAAAGTCATTCTGGTCCCAAAATTTAAGCTTAAAACCAAAAGTGACCGAGCCTTTGGGGTTGTGGCTCCCACCGTCTGAAACCTCTTTATAGTTTCATACTCTTATTTATTGTTACTTACTCATTTTTATAGTTTCATTGTTTCATATTGTTTTTCTAATGTTTGCACTGTATAGTACCTCGTAACTCTGTTTTTAAAAGGCGCTTATGAATAAAGTTTATTATAAAAAAGATAAAAGTAATGGATAATGTATGCATCATTTATTAGACAGCGAGAAACCCACAATGACGGTATAATTACTAAAGAGGGAATAAATACCAGCTAAAGACATTTTTCACATATTATTGCAAATTAAAAATGGGTTAACAGCTTCTAACTGCTCTGTAAAGCATAAGAAAATGTGTTTATTAATCATAAATAAGCCATTAGTTACTACTTAGCTCTGTGGAGGTAAAGAAAGGCAGCTGTTTCTTTCTGGAAAACTTTGTAACTACGTCTTCAAGGACTCCACAGCGCAAACATATTGAGATTAATCAGGCGTTGTTATTGACCGAGTCGGTGGAACATATTTTAAATGTTCCTTTGGTTTACTGATTCAATTATGAAACCTCAGAGAAACACTAACACTAACAATTTCATTCCCAAACACACAATCCACAGCCTGCACGAACCTAACGCAGCATCACTGGAGCGACAGAGGGACGACGACGGACACTCCACTTTCAAGCCCGAGAACAAAGAGTCCGATGCTCCACACTTTGAGTGGGCTCAGAAACCAGACAGTTATTTGGTCAGCGTGATCGGGCCTTTGCAGACAACCTTGATCATCCCGTTTGCCCTCTGGCTCATTAGCCTTAATGAGCCTGCCAGTCCACAATGTCTCCACTGAGTACGTCTGCTGTTCATTAAGGCCCCTGGTAATTGAAAGCTGCAACTGTAGATGAAGATACGAAGGTGGCTGGGGGAGATAAAGTCAGCGTACATGCAAGCCAAGAGCACAGATAATGAGGCCGGGGTGTGAAAGCGTCTTTGTGCCGCGGTCTCTTTGGCTTTGATTGAGCTCTATAGAAAATAACCTCGCTCAAAGGACCAACCGGCGCCACTAAACTTTCATTTGCTACGAGTTTATACAGCAAGGGACATCACTGATGTCTATGAACACTGGATAATTCATAGGAATTTTTAATAGGTTTACCATAAAAAAAAGATTTAAGGATAAGGCTAGTTACTGTATAATTTTCTTATTGTCATCAAACCCTTTTAAAAGACCTTGGTCTGTCTCTCAATAATGATCCGTCTGTGACCTTCAGTCCCAAGACCATTGGTCCCGATTGACCTTTAAAAAA